AGAGTTAGAGCAGAGCTGGGTCCTACTGGTTCTTCTCCTTCATTCATTCGTCACTAAATAAGCAGGAGGTTGCTGAGTGTCTACTTGGAGAACAGGCACTGCAGGGATTAAGGGTACAGACTAGATAAAGTGGGGTGCAAAGCCCCTAAGGCAGGACAACAATGTGACGAGGTGCCAGGCTCTGGACACAGCTGGCTGGGGGGTTCAGATCCTGCTTTGGGGCTGGAAGAGAAAAGACAGATGTCTAAGGCAGGTTGGGCTTTGTGTGACCTTGGGCAAGTTATTTCACGTCTCTGTAAATTGAGGGTAATGGGTTATAGTAAAATTAAAGTGTTCCTAGAACAAGTGCCTAGAACGTAGCAGTGTTCAAACAGACACTAGTCCCATACCTAGTGAGCTAAAGCTCTGGTGTCTCGCAGTAGAGCTGTCTACTGGAAACCATCCCCCTCTCAGGCCCAGCAGTTTGTCAAAGAGCGTGGGCCTGATCCCTGGGGCGGGCTGACACTCCCTGTCCCAGAGCAGATCCGCACCCCTCCAGAGCTCGCTAATGGGAAGTGTCCCCTCCCTTCCCAGTTGCAATTCAGCCCTTTGGTCACCCTAACACATTTAGGGAGCTGGCCGCCAGCGGTGCCAGCCCTGCCTACCCAGCTACCACCTGCTCTGTGCCTCAGCAGGGGGACAGGCCCCTCCTCGGGCAGAGCTAGCACCTGCTGCTTGTAGCTGAGCCTCTCCCAAGAGCCTGCCTGGACAGAAAGGCAGGACCTCAGCCTGCTTTTGTATCCACAAGCCTCGTGATCTTTAGAGCTGTAAGAAAAGCGTCACTGCAAGAAGGAAAGCCTCCCTGGTCATTCCAGGTCCCTTTCAAGGATGTCATTGTACCTAAGCGAGGCCTGAGTATGACCCCAAACGTGTTACCCTGAGCAGGGTGAGGGACTGGTTGGGACCTCGTTTTTCATCTCTAGCGATGTAGCTCAGATGAGCCTTGGGTCTAGGAATTAGGGGCTGGTGCTGAAGGTGGGCAGCAGGTGTGTGGGTGGCCCTCTGCCTGGCTCCAAAGTCCCAGGGGTAGAGGCCAGACAGAGCCTTCTCAGCTCCAACCTTCCCAGAGTAGGCGGCCCCACCTGTGCCATCCACACACGGCCGGCTGAGGGCAGGCATCAGCGATGGTGAGGGGAACGAGGCTCTGCCACTCGGGGATGCTGCCTCGGGTGGGGCGGACTGCCGGAGGAGACCTCTGAGACCTCCAGAGATCACCCCCTGCATTAGTCAGAATTCTCCAGAGAAACAGAACCAGTGGGATATATATAGGTACCTAGAAAGAGATTTATTATAAGGAATCGACTCATGAGATCATGGAGGCTGAGAAGTCCCACGATCTGCCATCTGCAGGCCGGAGAACCGGGAAGGCCTGTGGTGTGGTTCTAGTCTAACCCCAAAGGCCTGAGAACCAGGACAGCCCCTGATGGGCATAAGTCCCAACCTGAGTCCAAAGGCCTGAGAACTGGGGGCCGCAGGCGAAAAGTCCCGTTCCAAGTCCCAGAGCCCGAGAATCAGGAGCACCATTGTCTGAGGGCAGGAGAAGGTAGATGTCCTTGCTCATGCAGAAAATCAATCCCATCTTCCTCCACCTTTTTGTTCTGTGTGGGCCCTCAACAGACTGGAGGATGCCCACCCACACTGGGGAGGGCAGTCTGCTTTACTCAGTCTTCCAGAAACACCCTCACAGACACATCCCGAAATAATGCCTTACCAACTATCTGGGCATCCCTTAGCCCAGTCAAGTTGACACCTAAAATGACCCATTACAGGCCCACATCAGCTTCCATGGCCCCATCAGCCCTGACCCCAAAGACTAGGCACAGGGACAAGTTCCCAAAAGGCTCTTGGGAACTGCCTCCAGGGGTAGAGGCTTCTACAGTTCTGCTCACTGTGTACTGGGCAGTGTTTGTACACTTTTCTACAGTAGAGGCAAAGTGCCACCTTTGTGCAGTTTATGTTCTCAGAGGAGGAGGCAGACAGTTTACAAGTTAGTCAACATGTTGGGTAATAATGGATACTATGAAGGTGAACACTACAGGAGAACAGAACAGAATCCAGTGGGTGGGTATCATTACCCTACTTTAGGTAGGGTAACATTTGAGCAAAGATACCAATGAAGTGAGGCAGCAAGGCTTGCAAATACACGAGTAAATGGTGGTTTAGTAAGTGGGAACTGCATGTGCAAAGGCTCTGAGGCAGCAGCATGCTTGGCCTGTTTGAGGAAATGCTATCAGACAAAAGCACATTTGGAGAACCCTGGACTAAATGTTGTCCAATGTCTGCTCCAATACTGGGACCTTGTAATTGTGAACTGGATAGCATAGTGTCATTTTTATGGTGTAAGGTGTGGCTATCCAAGAACCTGGCTGCTGGAGGGGGCCTGGGTTTTCCTGGAGCAGACAGTAGATCTGCTGATGGAACCTTGGGTGTTCAGGATGTCCCTGAAGATGGAAAAATGGGAGGCAGTCCGGGCCCTTTGCATTATCTATTTGCTTCCTAGGGGGAGAAGAGTCATTATGTATCAATTATTTGCTAAGTGACCACAAGGTGCCCCTTGGGAGGCTGGACTTAGGGACAAAGATAAGTCAGATGCAGTTCCCACCTGCCCAGAGCCCCAGCGTGCTGGAGCAGGGGACTTGCCATGGGGCTGGTACCCAGGCGTGTGTATGCATGTGCATGTGTGTGTGCATGCACACGTGTGTACAGAGGCCCTGGGCGGGGGAGGGGCTCAGCTCTCACTGTGGGAACCCTGGAGGGGGCAGTTGGGACCTCTGAGCAGCTGCATCATGGGGCTGTGGAAGGGCGTGGAGCACAGGGAAGGGGCAGGGCCGGCTGCATAATTGGTGGGGCCCAGCGAGAATTCTCTCTTGTCTAGAAAGCAGGGAAAGTGCCCGTGAAGGTATGAAGGAAGCTTTGCCCTTTATTTGCAGTCCCTCTCTCAGCCTGGTGTGGTGCTTTGCTAGTTCATGTTGTTCTAAGTAAGGAAAAACCAAAACTTAGCATGAATTTTGCCATTCATCCTTATGTCGTTAAATGCAATTATGAGAGCCTTTAACTCATGTGTGGAAAGTACACACTTTGTTAATTCGTGGCTCATCTCCAGAGGTGCCTTCAGTAGACCAGAATGACAAGCTCAAGCAGACTCAGGAAGGGTGGCGAGGAAGAGAAATGCAGACTTCCGAGGACCCTGGGGCCCCGCCCCATGACATGTGTTGTAGGGCACACACAGGCACCCTCGGGCCTGACAGCTTCGAGGTTTCTGCTCTTACCAGACGTTGGACTGGCCGTGTTTCGCCCTGGCCCGGGGTGATCTGGGGAAGTTGAGGCAGGTGTGTTCCCTTCCTAAGAGCCCACCCCCCTCAGCCATGGCAGACCTGCAGCTCCAAGGAGCTTTAAGCCTGTGCATCAATGCCTGGGTCGGGGATGGGCGGGAGGCTCATTCCTGCTGAGACTCAGCCTCCAGCTGGCTGCCCACCAGACACGCCTTGTGCTGCCAGCCCAGGAGCCCTGCGCAGGGGCGGGAGAGCTGCCACCGTGCTCCATCTGAGACGGCACGGGGCATGGTGCCTGACTCTGGCCCTCCCTGCTGGGGGTGGAGGGCTGCACCCTGGAAGAGCAGAGATGGAGGCCAGGAGGGTCCTGGGGCACCAGAGAGCGGGAGAGAAGGCTGCAGACCACCCATCCTGGGGAGGCGTGGGCAGCAGGACCATGTGTGAGCACAGACTACATGACCCCAGCTCCATCAGCAAACACAGATTGAAGGATAAAATGATTAAGACGGTCACATGGCCACACAGGACGTTCCACCCCAAGTGCAGGGCACTTCGGAGCATGGGGCTTGTGTGACTGTACAGGTCACATGCCCACAAAACCAGCCCTGGGGAGAAGAGTTGAGGGACATTCTTTAGGCCACTTGGTATTTCTGGGCCTCAGTTTCCCTGGGTGAGACAGGATGAGAGGTCCTGTAACAAAGGAGGGAGGTCCTGTAACAAAGGTCATGTAACAAAGGAGGGACTCACCGTCAGACCACATTTGGGCTCTGCCTGTGTTAATAGACTTAGTCTTCCCACAGCTGTTACTGTCTACAGGTTCCTGTCTACAGGTGAGGCACTGAGACCTGACTGGGTTAAATGGCTTTCTGAGGGAAAGTAGTGAAGGCAGGTGGCACGGCCGGGATTTGTGTCCAGGCGGTGGGCCCCAGGGCCCCTCTTGTCAGCCCTGTGTAATGTTCCCCTGCTACCTGCTGACCTATTTCTGCCTGTCACCCCTCCTCCCTGTGCAGGGCCCTGTGGGCTCCTGGCTTCTTTGCTAGACTGTGGCATTTCACCTTCATCCTCCACCACTTGGCACTGCCTGGGCCAGGCTCCCGACAGAGGGGCTTCCGGCCCAGCTCCTGCCTCCCAGATCCCCGCACAGGGCTCTGGTCAGCTCTTGGAGTGACCACTCTCGAGGCAGGAACCCACCCGTGTCTGGTCAGCTGTGGCAGGGGGGCAGCGGGGTAGGAGCATGTGACACAGAAAGAACGTGGCTGCCCAGGCAGCACCTTGGGCAAGGAGTGCTGTGGAGAGCAGGGTCCTTTAGATGGGGCACAGGGGTCCCAGGGACTGCCTATCCTGGCCTCCCCTTCAAGCCTGGAGCCGAGGCCTCATCTGAGGGAGGAGCCTGCACATCCTGACTCCTCCTCTAGGCCCAGGTGTCTGTGGGGAGAGCCTTCCATTCCAAAGCCGAGAGCAGGTGGGGTGACCTCAGCCAGGATGACAGGTGGCAGGCCCTGAGCAATGGTAGGAGCTGTCCCTCCTCTAGCAAAAATAAACATTTAACCAGCTGCTTCGGGGACTTCCTCTGTGGTCTGGGGCTTCCTTACTGCCTTCCTGGCCCAGCAGACAGCAGTGGCCGGCAGTCTCTGTGGCCTCTGGACAGCCCCCTTCTTACCCCGCTCTCCTTCTTCCCTGCGCGTGCAGAGCTCCACCTGGAAGGGAATTTCCTGCACCGCCTCCCCAGTGAGGTCACTGCCCTGCAGCACCTGAAGGCCATTGACCTGTCCCGGAACCAGTTCCAAGACTTCCCCGAGCAGCTTACCACCCTGCCGGCGCTGGAGACCATCAACCTAGAGGAGAACGAGATCGTGGGTGAGTAGACCTGGCCCTGCTGGCTGCACGCGGCTCGCGCAGGGCCACCGTGGGCCTCAGGCTCTCCCTGTGTTGGTCTCCAACTGCCGGCCTAGGCTGTCTCCAAGACCCTTCTGCTCTGACCCTCTGCACCTGCTCCTCCCCGAGTCCCTGCCTTCACAGGAGCTCTTCATCACTGGCAGCAGGGGCCTGGGCAAGCATGTGCCTGCCAGCACGAGCAGGCTCCTCCCTGCCAGCCCAGCCTCCAGGGCCCCCACCAGGGAGCTGGGCAGTCTGATGGGCATCTTCTACAAACAGCAGACCTCAAGGGGCTGGTTTCCACTGAGGTCCAGGAGGGGTCCATCCTTCCTCCTGCACAATTATGTGCCTCTCTGTTTCATCAGGACCTCAGAGGGCTGAGCGGCCCTCCAGCTAGCAGTCTAATCTCCCCAGAGAAACCGGGCCCTCAGCGGGGTCTCTTCATGCCCGCTTCTCCTCCAGCGGCCCCTCCCTCCTGTGCGCCCTCTTTCATTGGCCGTGGCCCCATTTCGCCCTCTCTCACATCGCCTCTAATGTCAGTGCTGTTCTAATGTCAATGACGTTAATAATACCCCCTTCAGTTGTGCTTTCATTTTTGTAAGCCCTTTTACAGCCATTATGCCATTTGATTAAAAGCAAGAGCCTTCTCATGGGGAATGGCCTGCCTCGTGCGGTGGCGAGAGCCTGTCTCCCGCGGACGCTGCAGGCAGGAGTTGGCCCTGGCTGGGTGGGAGGTAGGACCAGCTCACCTTTGAGGGCCTGGGTCTGTTCTTCAACAGGCGAATAGACTGAGGCTGAAGCACATTACCGGTGAGCATCCAGTTGCTCTGTGAGACTGCCTGAATGCCAGGACGAGAATACGTGATGCCAGAACTCAGCCCTGTGTCTGGCGGGGGGGGGGGGAGTCCCCTTGCCTGCCTGTGGGACACGCCTGGGCATGGTCTCTGGCTCACTCTTGTGCTCCTAAGACCAGGGTCCCCAAGCGGTTGGCTTCCAGTCACGTGGGCCCCTGCACAGTCTTTAATTAGAAAGGGGCTGCCCAGAGTGCCTTTTTGCTGTGAGGCCGTCCCTCCTCTGCTGTCCTGATCACCCAGGGTCTGGCTGTGGAGCCCCCCCCTTCCCTGCGTTCCTAGCCAGGCCCTCCTTGCCTGCATCCTTCCTCTCCTGCTTCTTATTCACTGAGGCTCTTCCTGGTGCCTCTGCTTCTTCTACTGTTTACCTAACTGGGGCAGTAACCGAGCAAGAGCTACTATGGCCAGTGCCGACCCAAGCCAGGCGTGTTGCTGGTGGGCAGGTGGGTCAGGACGGGTGCTGGCCTTGGCTTCCATGCTTCCTAACCGCAGCCTTGGAAGGCTCCCAGCAGCTCCCTGAGCCTCGGCTTCTCATCTTTCATGTGGAACGCATCCTCCAACCCCAGAAGGTGGTCAGAGATGAGAAGAAGGTAGCTTTTCCCAGGCAGCAGAGCAGGCTGAGTGCACATCGCTGCTGGCTGCAGTCCAAGAAGTGACTTTCACCAAAGCAGGCAGCACAGGGTAGCCCGGGTCCCTTAACACTTCCCCTCCCACACGGCTGACAATGTCCCTCAGCAGCAACAGCCCCAGACCGTAGATCTGCTGTTTGGGTTCACTCTGCCTTTCTGCAGAGTGACAGCGATGACTCTTCACACCTAGGACACGTGTGATCCCTTGTCCACAGGGTGATGGTCCCCATGCGGCACACATAGAAACCGAGGCTCTAAGCCTTCTTGGCCCAGTGCCTGTTGTACACCTGGCCAGGTAAAAGAGACAGCAGCAACTAGGCCGTGTTTCCCAGTCAGTTCAGCCTGTGACAGAGCCCCTGCCGCCCAGGCTCTGCCAGCCCTGGCGATGTGGAGATGCCAGGGGCTGGCCCTGTCCAGGAGAGGATCCTGGTTCCCCCCAAGTGGCCAGCTGCTCCTCCCAGAGGAGCTCAACCAATGCCAGGGCCCTCTCCCGCCCCCCAGCTGGCAAGAAGGGGTGCATGGAGGCAGCCACTGCCCCCTTGCTGGCGTCACCCTGCTTCCATTTTCTACCTCCCCCGGTCCATTCTAGTTACTTGGTGGCCTCTCAAATCCCAGGCCGGCAGGAGGGCAGGCTGCCGCCTCCACACCACAGGGCTCGCTGGCGCGGCAAGGGGCTGCTGAGCCCTCCGTTATGGAAAAATAGCCTTGCGCTGTTTGCTGCCAGTGGCTGATCCCTGCAGGAGCTCGCTGGGATAATTGGAGAAGGAGCTTAAACCACCTTCAAAGTGGCTTGTTTTTTCCTGTCAGAACCCTTAGAGGGTGCTAGGAAAATAAAACAAAATTCTTATGAGAAAGGAACTTGAGATACATGACTTGCCTTTAAGCTTTAGTAAGTAGAGAACAGGCGGCTCTGAAACAAGCCCCCCAGTGCATTGGAAGGACTCCCACCCCAAAGGGACCCCCGCAGAGATACCTGTGGCATGTCCCCAGGGAGGCCTGGAGGCTCTCAGCATCTCAGCAGCTGCCGGGACCAGCTCATTTGTCCTCTTGTTTCCAAATAGTGCTGCCACCTGACCTTCCTCCACAGTCTAGGCCACCCTGGGCATAGAGCAGGGGAGGTGGCGCGTTCTGTGGAGGAGAGAAGCTTGGAACCAATAGGGCACATCGGCTGGGAGGGACAGGGACACTCGTGTCTGCTTTCTGATGCCAGCCTCTGGGAGGTGGCGGTGCCTATCCTTGGGGCTCACTGGTGGCTAAAGACCCTCAGGTCTCACATCTGTGGAGCCCAAGACTGCCCTTGTTGTTGCCACCCATGCGTGTGACCCTTCTCTGTCCTCGAGGGTGGTCTCCACGTCGTCTTCTCTCCGGAGCCACCTGCTTCTTCTCTCCGGAGCCCCCACGAGCGTCTGGCACTGTGTCTGGCATACAGCAGGTGCTCAGTTGGTGGGGAGTACTGCTCAGAGCAGGAATTCCAAAGCCCCGAAGCTCCCCTGAGATACCTGAGACACAATGGGGCAGATTGTTTCAAGCTGCAGGTTATGACCGGCTAGTGAATCATGAAATCAAATTAGTGGGTTGAGACCAGCAATTTTTTAATAGAATAGAAGATGTCAGAGTACATCACACATAGCACGATAATTACCGTTGCCTGACTTTTAATTTCACTTTTACTATGTGCATGCACAGGATATCTACTGGCTCATGATGAAAACTTGTATTTCTTTCTGTGTCATGATGGGCAGGTATGGAAAGCCACTCCTGTGAGTTGTCCTGCAGAGATGTGGGGGCTGTTCTTGGCAGCTCATGCCCCCACCACATTATACAGCCTTCCTTCCTCATGTCCCCATCCCTGTCCCCTACCTTGCACAGCCTATGCTCTTGCTCTGTAAGTCCTTTCCCGGGGCTTCTGTTCTCTGCCGGTGGCCAGGCGCCCTGAGTCTGCAGCTCTGGGCCCCGTTCAGGTGAACAGGAAGCAGAATAGTTTCAGAAGCCTCTGCCCTCCCACAGCCAGCCCCCTGGCAGACACACAGCAGCTTTCTGAGGGGCTTCCTGGGTCCTTAGGGACTGGCCTGCCAGACATGGTTGTTGGCTGTGAGTACTCTCAAGAGGGAGGAAAAGGGGTTGTAGCTTAGAATGTTTGTTCAGACAACAGTCATTTACAAGTTTCTGGGACACGGGATGGTGTGTGGAAGTGTTTAAGTATTTGTAAACAAGACTGCCTGGGGAAATATGGTCTCCAGGGAAGCAGAGGCTACAAAGATGCATGAGACGCAGGTCCTGACCTCGAGTTGCTTACAGTTGTTAGCGTAAGCCAATGCTAGACGGCTAGACAGCTAGCCACAGCTGGAGGGGAGGTCTGGCATGCCATGGGGTGACAGGGAGAGGACTCTCAGCGGGAGGGAAGCTGGCTGCGCGTCCTAGTGGGACGGGGCTCCCAGGAAGATCTGGGGAGGGTTTCTGAGGAGGTGGAGGAATTTAGTCTGACTGTGAGCAATGGCATAGGGACATGATGGGCCACCTGAAGATAAGGAAGTCAGCTCGCTCACCCCAGTCGCCAGCACACATGGCTTAAAGGTTGGGGCGGGAACTGCATTAAGGCCACCACGTGCTCGCAAGCACTCGATGCCGCACAGCAGGTCGGTCCTGCAACATGTGGGGGTGGAGAGAAAGTCATGTATCTGGGAGTCTTCATTTTGCTAAACAGGAGACTATTTCAGTTAAACTAGAATTTAACTTTTCCCCCCTATGTACCTAATGTTCCAGAGAGAGCAAGAGATCCTAGGAAAACTTGTCCTTGTTAAGAATTTAATAAATAGTGCAATGCCACTTTTAAAAAGAAAATTATCTGTGTTACATAGGGATGTTCTGGGCTGCATTTGCTTAATTCCACCCTTGTCCTGTTCACTTCTCTCTATCCAGGGCTGTATTTCTGCAAGTGTGGGCCCGGGACCAGCAGCAGCAGCAGCACTGGAGAACTGGTTAGAAATGCACATCCTCAGGCCCCACTCCACACTTACTGGAGCCCTCGGAGGGGACGGCAGCAGCCTGTTTAAATCGCCCTCCCCCCAGGTGTTTGGATGCATGCTGAACTTTGAGAATCTCTGCCTCACTCTCAGTTCTCAAAGGATCATCCATAGACCAGCAGCATGGGGACACCTGGGAGCTTGTTAGAATTGCGGGACCTCAGCTGGGCATGATGGCTCAGGCCCCTAATCCTAGCACTCTGGGAGGCCAAAGTGTGAGGATTGCTTGAGGCCAGGAGTCTGAGGTTGCAGTGAGCTATGATGACACTACTGCACTCTACCCAGGGTGAGACTCTGTCTCAAAAAAAAAAAAAAAAACAGGAAAAGAAAAAAAAGAAATGCAGAGCCTCAGGTTTCACCTAGTTTTTTTCCAATCAGAATCTGCCCCTGGGCAAGATCTGTGGGTGATCTGTTTGTGCAGTAAGTCCGAACTTAACAGGTTCTTGGGAACTGCCCGTTAGAGGAAATGATATGCCGGA